CCTAAAGGGGATCCTGACCCAAGCAATTTACCCATGCGCCACCCTTTATCCCTGGATAATATGCCCTCAAAATAAAGAGTCCCTGGCCCCAGCAAGCTACCCATGGGCCAACCTTTATCCCTGGACTTGAAGTCTGGGCCCCAGAGGGCCCTTTTCTCTCCAAATAAATGGTCCCTTACACCAGCAAGCTATCCAGGGGTCAACCTCTCTCCCAGGACTTACAGTCTGGTCCCCATAGGGCCCCTTGCCCTATACATAAAGGGTCCCTGCCCCCAGCAAGCTACCCATGGGCCACCCTTAATCCCTGGACTTGCAGTGTGGGCCTCAGAGGGCCCCTTGCCCTCCACAAAAAGGGTCCCTGCCCCCAGCAAGCTACCCAGAGGCTAACCTCTCTGCTAGGACTTGCAGTCAGGCCCCGAAGGGCCCCTCGCCCTCCACCTAAGGGTCCGTGAAACCAGCAAGCTACCCATGGGGAACACTTTATCCGTGGACTTGCATTCTGGGCCCCAGAGATTCCCTTACCCTTCAACTAAAGGGTCCCTGCCCCCAGCAAGCTACCCATGGGCCACCCTTAATCCCTGGACTTGCAGTGTGGGCCTCAGAGGGCCCCTTGCCCTCCACATAAAGGGGCCCTGCCCCCAGCAAGCTACCCAGAGGCTAACCTCTCTGCCAGGACTTGCAGTCAGGCCCTGAAGGGCCCCTTGCCCTCCACATAAAGGGTCCGTTAAACCAACAAGCTACCCATGGGGCACCCTTTATCCCTGGTCTTGCATTCTGGGCCCCAGAGAATCCCTTACCCTCCAACTAAAGGGTTCCTGCCCCTAGCAAGCTACCCAGGGGCCATCCTCTCTCCCAGGACGTGCAGTCTGGGCCCCAGAAGGCCCCTTGCCCTCCACATAAAGGGTACCTGCCCCCAGCAAGCAACCCATGGGCCACCCTTTATCCCTAGACATGCAGTCTGGGCCCCATAGGGCCCCTTGCCCTCCACCTAAAGGGTCTCTGACCCCAGCAAGCTACCCATGGGGCACCCTTTATCCCTGGACTTGCATTCTGGGCCCCAGAGAATCCCTTACCCTCCAACTAAAGGGTCCCTGCCAACAGCAAGCAACCCAGGGGCCAACATCTCTCCCAGGTCTTGCAGTCTGGGCCCCATAGGGCCCCTTGCCCTCCACCGAAAGGGTTCCTGCCCCCAGCAAGCTACCCAGGGGCCATCCTCTATCCCTGGACTTGCATTCTGGGCCCCAGAAGGCCCCTTGCCCTCCACATAAAGGGTCCCTGCCCCCAGCAAGCTACCCATGGCCCAACCTTAATCCCTGGACTTACAGTGTGGGCCTCACAGGGCCCCTTGCCCTACACATAAAGGTCCCTGCCCCCAGCAAGCTACCCAAAGGCTAACCTCTCTGCCAGGACTTGCAGTCAGGCCCTGAAGGGCCCCTTGCCCTCCACCTAAAGGGTCCGTGAAACCAGCAAGCTACCCATGCGGCCAACCTTTATCCCAGGACTTCCAGTCTGGGCCCCAGAGGGTCCCTTGCCCTCCACCTAAAGGGTACCGGCCCCCAGCAAGCTACCCAGGGGCCACTCTTTATCCCAGGACTTGCAGTCTGGGCCCCATAGGGCCCCTTGCCCTCCACCTAAAGGTTCCCTGCAACAGCAAGTTTCACATGGGCCACCCTTTATCCCTGGACTTGCAGTCTGGGTCCCAGATGGCCCCTTGCCCTCCACCTAAAGGGTCCCTGCCCCCAGCAAGCTACCCAGAGGCCAACCTCTCTCCCAGAACTTGCAGTGTGGGCCCCATATTGCCATTTGCCCTCCACCTAAAGGAATCCTGACCCTGACAATTTACCCAGGAGCCGCCCTTTGTCCCTAGACTTGCAGTCTGGGCCCCAGAGAATCCCTTACCCTCCACCGAAAGGGTTCCTGCCCCCAGCAAGCTACCCAGGGGCCAACCTCTCTCCCAGGTCTTGCAGTCTGGGCCCCATAGGGCCCCTTGCCCTCCACCGAAAGGGTTCCTGCCCCCAGCAAGCTACCCAGGGGCCATCCTCTTTCCCAGGACATGCAGCCTGGGCCCCAGAAGGCCCCTTGCCCTCCACATAAAGGGTCCCTGCCCCCAGCAAGGTACCCATGGGCCACCCTTTATCCCTGGACTTGCAGTGTGGGCCCCAGAGGATCACTTGCCCTCCACATAAAGGGTCCCTGCCCCCAGCAAGCTACACATGGCCCAACCTTAATCCCTGGACTTGAAGTGTGGGCCTCAGTGGGCCCCTTGCCCTCCACATAAAGGGGCCCTGCCCCCAGAAAGCTACCCAGAGGCTAACCTCTCTGCCAGGACTTGCAGTCAGGCCCCGAAGGGCCCCTTGCCCTCCACCTAAAGGGTCCGTGAAACCAGCAAGCTACCCATGGGGCACCCTTTATCCCAGGACTTGCAGTCTGGGACCCAGAGGGCCCCATGCTCTCCAAATAATGGTCCCTGACCCCAGAAAGCAACCCAGGGGCCAGCCAACCTTTCTCCCAGGACTTGCAGTCTGGGCCCCAGAGGGCCCCTTGCCCTCCACCTAAAGGGCCCCTGCCCCCAGCAAGCTAACCAGGGGCCAACCTCTCTCCCAGGACTTGCAGTCTGGGCCCCAGAGGGCCCCATGCCCCCAAAATAAAGAGTCCCTTCCCCAAGCAAGCTACCCATGGGCCAACCTTTATTCCTGGACTTGCAGTCTGGGCCCCAGAGGGCCCCATTCTCTCCAAATAAATGGTCCCTTACCCCAGCAAGCTATCCAGGGGCCAACCTCTCTCCCAGGACTTACAGTCTGGTCCCCATAGGGCCCCTTGCCCTATATATAAAGGGTCACTGCCCCCAGCAAGCTACCCATGGGCCAACCTTTATCCCAGGACTTGTAGTGTGGGCCCCAGAGGGCCCCTTGCCCTCCATATAAAGGGTCCCTGCCCCCAGCAAGCTACTCAGGGGCCAACCACTGAGCCAGGACTTGCAGTCTGGACCCCATAAGGCCCCTTGCCCTCCAACTAAAGGGTCTCTGCCCCCAGCAAGCTACCAATGGGCCACGGTTTATCCCTGAACTTGCAGTCTGGGCCCCAGAGGGCCCCTTGCCCTCCACCTAAAAGGTCCCTGACCCCAGCACGCTACCCAGAGGTCAACCTCTGTCTCTGGACTTGCAGTATCGGCTCCTAATAGCTCCCTTGCCTTCCAGCTAAGGGGTCACTGATCCCAGGAGGCTACCCAGAGGCCAACCTCTCTCCCTGGACGTGCAGTCTGGGCCCCAGAGGGCCCCCTTGTCCTCCACCTAAGTGGTCCCTGACCCCTTCAAGCTACCCTGCACCCAACCTCTCTCCCTTAACTTGCAGTCTGGGCTCCTTAGGGCCCCCATGCCCTCCACATAAGGGTTTCCTGACCCCAGCAAGCTACCCAGGGTCCAACGTCTTTACCTGGACTTGCAGTCTAGGCCCCAGAGGGCAACTTGCTCTTCACTTAAGGGGTGCCTGATGATAGCAAGCTACCCAGAGGCCAACCTCACTCCCATGACATTCAGTCAGGGCCATAGACGGCCCCTTGCCATGCACCTAAGGGGTCCCTGACCCAAGTAACCTACCCAGGGGCCAACCTCTTTCCTTGGACTTGCAGTGTGGGCTCTTTAGGGCCCCCTTGACCTTCACCTAAGGGGTCCCTGACCCCTGCAAGCTACCCAGGACCCAACTTTTCTTCTTGTTCTTGCATCCTGGGGTCCTTAGAGGCCGCTTGCCCTCCACCTAAGGGGTCCCTGACCCCAGCAAGCTACCCAGAGGCAAACCTCTCTCACTGGGCTTGCAGTCTGGGCCCCAGAGGGCTCCTTGCCCTCCACTAGGGCACTTGTGGAAAGAAAGAAACTCCACAAGACGCCCTTACATCTTGTTTTGATGTCCTTCAGGGTGAATCAAATGTTAATTAGGGGGGTCAATCCCCCAAACCCTCCCGTAATTCGCACCCTGCCTGTATCCCTCAACATTATTACCCATTCCATGTGCATATCTGAAGTATTTGGACAAAGCAAAATTCAGTTAAGTAAACATTTAAAAATATATTATATGAATATTGTTGCATAATTTTCTTCAAATTACAAATTAATGTATGAATAATGAATTACATAGTTATAAATATTTAAAAATCATTTAAGTTTGATTGTCACAAAATGCATGTGACTGAAAATTGTAACAACAAAAAAATTTTAATCTGTGAATAATCAAAACAGTTGATGTTAGTATTACTGAAATGAAGTTGGAAATGAAGCAGAATTCCTCCTTGCTATGTGCAATTATCGCTACCTTTGACTGAGTGTTGTAAAATTTCAACATTCACATGACCCGCTCAATCTAATATTGTCAAAGCATTGAACGATATCTTGTGCATTTTCTTCAGCATGATAGGTATGTTACTAATCACAAGAAAAAAAATATTATCTACAATATATCAATGCATGTACTGTATATGTTTGAGAAACTGTTTACATATAATTAAAATCATACAGCCAAAACATTTTTATATTACATAAAAATGTATGAAAATATTTTAGCATTATGTACGTTTTTACCAAATATAACATCCAAACCACACACTTATATTAAAACTATACCACTGTATGACCAACAGAGGACGACGTTAATCTATGTTTGGTCTTGTCTTGACTGCAGCTTCCAATACGCGCAATATTTAGTCTCGTGGGCGCGCGCAGGTGACATGTGAGGTCAGGTTTTGCGTGAAAATAATACAAAAACTGGCATCTTTCTTAAAAACCCTTAAAAAATGTAATTGTAGTAAAATCTCGTTTTACTACAATTTAGCTTCACTGTATTTTATTGACATATTTGACAATATATTTAACTAACAGTTATTCATGTTACAGGTTTTATTTCAGCAAATGTTTCAAGCCTGTGCATGAAATCTAAGCGTATAATATGTGTGTGGGTGGACTGTAATCTGACTCCACTTCTGCTGTATTTATTACCGAGGCATCGTTCGATACACGGGCAGTGAAACGTCATTCAGCTCGCCCCACCTTCCTTTAGTCAGTCTGAGAGTCACGTTTAATGATAAATCTCCAAATCTCTTTATCATATATTGTTCTGCCTCAGTGTACGACCAACAGCAACAGAGAGAAAAAAATACACTTACTTTGAGTTGAAAGCACAGAGAATGAGAAGCGTCGTGTCGGTGTGCTGTTTGGGTTTTCTGTTGGGTCTTCTGGCTGTTGTGGAATGTGATGAAGATTATATTGAGGATGAAGATGAGATGATCCTGTCTTTAATTTTGCAGGATGACACTCAGCCTGAAGCAGAGAACAGGCCATCGGCGCAGTTTTACAGGTGCACCAAGGTAGGATAACTGGGCTGTGATTTGTGGGACTGCTGGTTAAAAATATTAAGGGGGGGGGGAAATTATGTTATAGAAAAATATTAAATACAAATAAAAAAAAAAAAAAAAACAGAAGAAAAAAATGAAGAGAAGCAAAAATTTGAAAAAGTTTGTAGGTTGAAATTTATTTTGCAATATTTTGCTTAAATTTAATTTTATTATCTTTCATTACCGAAACATTACTGAAACTACAAACAACAGCCTAAAAAAAATGAAAATTTTAGATGAAAATTCCAGATGGCATTTAGAGGTTTTAGTATCCAAACTCTTCATAAGATGCATCATCATCTTATGTGAGAAACACTAAAGAAAAATATACATTCATACTTATGAATTTATGATTATGACATTTTCTAAAACAGCAAGCGCAACCATATGTCATATTATTTTATCTTTTGTAAAACAAGGCACAATGAAGTGCCAGTGATGTGCAGTAGGCTGCCTATAATTTGTATTTATTTCTGAAGTTGCAGATAATAAAACAAAGATTAAGATGAATGTCTTTTTTGTTTTAAAAATGTAAGTTTAATTACATGCTGTCGATTTTTTACAATTAGGATCAAAGCCTTAAAATTAGTAGTCTCAAAGACTTATAAAAACATTATTTGTTTGGTATTTTGAGCTAAATCCTCACATTGAGTTCACGCTCTAGGGAAATCCGAGATTTTTTTTTACATCTTGCAAAAAGGGGCATAATAGGTCCCCTTCAAAGTTAACAATTAATCCCTGCATTTTAAACGACTGAAAATCTTTAATCAAAATCTAAACATAATCATATTAAATAATCTGAAATAATTATGTTTTCTGTGCATCTGGAAGGACTTTAAGCAATACTACTGTATATGTTTTGGGTATACTGCATATTTGTTCTTAAATAGCTACATTATATATATAGAAAATAAATTATGAAAAAATGACACATTTGCATGTAAATGTAAGTATAATGTCTTGCTGTCGATTTTCAGTAATTTAATGTAGTTTACAACAACAAAAGACTACAGCATGTTTGTGGAGTGTACTGTACGTGTGGCACGTGTGAAAGAAGGAGGTTATATCAGAATGACATATGTAACCCCCTTGCGTGCTTTGTGCACAGGACGCGTGGCGAATGCCGGGTCAGTATTTAGTTGTGATGCGGAACGGGACGCACGTGAACCAGGTGGAGCGCACCACGCGCAGACTCAGCGCAAAAGCCGCCAAACGCGGATACCTGATTGAGATATTGCAGACTTACTCTGGAGCCTTCCGTGGGTTTCTGGTGAAAATGAGCAGCGATGTTCTTCACATGGTAATCTGCAAACATTCTTGCATGTCACATTTGTCTTCAACGATGTTTGGACAGTTATTTACACACACACACACACACACACACAAAGGAACTCTAAACTGAAAACATGATCTGTGTTTTTCCATCATTCCATCACCTGTGTTTTTGGCAGGCAGTAAAGTTGCCCCATGTGGAATACATTGAAGAGGATTCCTCAATCTTTGCCCAAAGCATCCCATGGAACCTGCAGCGGGTCCTTCAAAATAAACATGAGGCTGGAAAATACTCTCCACCCAGTGAGCTAACACCTTACTTGTGTCCCAAATCACACTCTTTGCACTTATAGGCTACACTTTGTACTTAATGCACTATAAAGGTACATCCTGTGCAGTCTGGAGTCTGAACACCCTAGGCCCTCTACGGTAAAATTAAAGCTGTGGCAACCCAGGTAGCAAATAATTCTGGCCCAGATCTGGCATAAAGCTGGCACAGCACTTGCATACAGCATATGGGCCAAACATGGTCTGGGTTTGGCAGAGGTGGCTCTATTTTTAAGGCGCCACACACAATTTGGGCCACATGTAAAATGTAGTACTTGACCCAGATGTTAAAAACTGATAAGTGGGCCTCATCAGTTCAGCCTGTCTTGACCCACATTTAAAATACATTAAAATAAATTTTGAGTAAAGAAAAAACATCTAACAATTAGGTCTGTTAGAGTAACCTCTAAAAGTGCTCTAGCGAAAGACACATGAGGCCATGGTCTTTAGCCTCCTTGTTAGAGTGACCGACTCCCATGCGGAAGGTCGCCGTCTCGGAGCAGGTTGGAGTGTTGTAGGACTGGTGGGATTGCAGTTGTAGCTGGAAGGACATCTGCTGCGTAAAACATGTGCTGGATAAGATGGCGGTTCATTCCGCTGTGGCGACCCAGGATTAATAAAGGGACTAAGCCGCAAAAGAAATTAATAAATAAATGTGGGCCAAGCAAAACCTGATTGTGTGGGGCAGAGACATTTAGCTATTTGGGAATTTATTGCATTAACTGTTCAAAATTTAATGCATTGTTTTTTTCTGTTAGGTGGATTTTCCATTGCTTTTTCATCTTTTACTTTTTTCAGGTGTCCCAAAAAAAAAAAAAAAAAAAGATATAAATAATCTGAAAATGTTAATTTTTCTTCCTGGAACATTAACCAGGAAAGTTTTCTTTATGTATAAATAGAGCGTTCCCATAACATCTCTGGAATGTTCTTTTTTGGGTTCTCTTTAATGTAAGATGCTTAAAAAAAAGCCTGCAATATTTAAAAAAATGTTAGTGTTTAGTTATCAAAAATAACATACCGAGTGTTTACTTACAAATAAAAACAATGTTTACTGTGAAAACTGGATGATAAGTACATTTCCATTTTTGCTTTATTTGTATCTCTCATGAAGTTAATGTTACAACTGGTATTTTTAAAGCAGTATTAGTATCACACTTGTGCCACTAACATGATGTATGTCGAATAACATCACCAGAAAGTACTTAGAGATTAGTTATTTGTCTGAAATTTGCATATATATGCAAATATATCTTATTAAGATTCTAGTTGATAAGAAACTTAGCCTTTTTCTTGAGAAACTGTCCACTCTCATGAGCAGTTATTGTGGTTTGATGTTAACATGCACTTTAAATAAAGTCCTTAAAGTCCACATGAAATCAAAATGTTCAATGTTTATTTTGCTAGCATAGATTGTTAGTCTTAAAAGGGACCTACTATGCAAAAATCTTTTATATAAGGGGTTTAAACACAGTTGTGTGGCTACAGTCTGTGAATATAGCCAGCATCTAATTCAATTCACCTTTATTTGTATAGCGCTTTTACAATGTAAATTGTGTCAAAGCAGCTTAACATAGAAGATCATAATAAATTGAAACAGTGTAGTTCAGTTTAAGTTAGGTTCAGTTTAGTGCAGTTCAAAAATGTGGAAGTTTCAAAGACTTATAAAGCCTTGTTTGTTTGTTTATTTTGAGCTAAAGCTTCACATACACACTCTAGGGACATTAGAGACTTAATTTACATCTTGTAAAAAGGGGCATGATAGTGAACAAATAATCCTTGCAAGTTAAACCAGTGAAAATCTTTAATCAAAATCTGACCATTTGCTTTCGCTCTGGAATGGCAGCACTTCTCTGATGTCAGTTTGATGGCTGGGGCAAAATATGCTTAGCCCCTCCAACCTTTAATTTGCTACAAGGGAAAGATGAAAGAAGCTCAACAAACCCTGCCCTTTACTAAATATTCAATTTCAGTTGTAAATACGGTGTCATTCGTTCATTTTCTTTTTGGCTTAGTCCCTTTATTAATCTGGGGTCACTACAGCGGAATGAACTGCCAACTTATCCAGCATATTTTTTACGCAGCAGATGCCCATTCAGCTGCAACCCATCACTGGAAAACATCCATGCACACTTATTAACACACACAATACGGACAATTTAGCCTACCCAATTTACCTATACCACATGTCTTTAGACTGTGGGGAAAACCAGAGCACCCGGAGGAAACCCACGTGAACACAGGGAGAACATGCAATCTCCACACAGAAATGGCAACTGACCCTGCCAAGGCTCAAACCTTCTTGCTGTGAGGCGAACGAGCTACCTACTGCGCCACCATGCAGCCAAATACAGCATTAGACCCCAGATAGCATACTAATGTGGGCCACTTTAGGCAGTTATGCGGTACTGGTGGTATACCTTTGGCCCAGACAAAATGAATGTGAGCCTGAAGTGGCCCACCTATACAATGGCAAATGGGGGCCAAAGATTTAAATTCATATATGGCCCAATTAAGGCAAATATTTGGCACTCATGGCAAAATGTAATCTGAATGTGAACCCAATGTGGCCTATGTGAAAAAAGGATAAATTTGGCCCAAATGACAGAGGACAAATGTGGGCCACAGTTGGCAAAATAGTGGCATAGTCATTTAAGGGTAATCTGGGTCTAAACCTAAACTGGCTAACACGTGTAGGTGCAAATGTGACCCAGGTATCTTAAGACATATATGAGCCACTTTTGGCAAACATTTGGCACAGTAAGCTCTGGCTATTGTGGTTGTGAGCCTAATGTGGCCCAGAGAAAATATGGAAAATGTGACCCAGTTATTATAAAACATATGTGGGACACTTTTGGCAAATATTCTGCACAGTAAACTCTGACTAGTGGTCCAGAGTAGATATGGAAAATGTGGCCCAGTTATCTTGAAACATATGTGGGCTACTATTGGCGAACATTCAGCACAGTAAGCTATGCCCTATGTGGATTTGAGCCTATAGTGGCCCAGAGAAGATATGGTAAATGGGGCCCAGTTATCATAAAACAAATGTGGGCCACTTTTGGCAAATATTTGGCACAGTTAGCTTTGGCTAATGTTGCTGTGAGCCTAAAGCGGTCCAGAGGAGATATGGCAAATGTGGCCCAGTTAACTTAAAACAAATGTGGACCACATAGACTAAAGTCACCATCATGGAGAAAAGTGTTTGCTTTAGTTGGGACCTGAACCTTTTAAAATACATTTTATTTTAGGCTGCTGTACCTTTTAAGAACTTTGCTTGAAAAGTTTATTAATTACAGCAAACAAGCTAAGAAAAAAAACAACAAAAACAATAAAATGAATTGAGGCACAACCTGTGATGAAATAATATAATTTACTGATGTTCACCAACGTTTAATCTATTGTTAGAAGTGATAGGCCAGATCTGGGCCAGAATAAAAGCAAACTGTTGGCCAGAATAGGGTCAGTTCTGGTTCATTTGGTTGATTTTTGGCTGGTATGTGATATTGATATGGCTTAATTGTGGCCCAGATCTGGCAAACAGGAGTGGATCACCCAAGTGCCATCATTCCATGCGGTATGTGGGCCGGATGTAAGAGTCTGGTGTGGGCCGGATTTGAGCCACATGAATATTGCTAGCTGGGACTGAAATAAAATTCAACGAAAGTAACTGTCTTTGGTCTGTATTTTCATCTGTGTGTTTCTGTGTAGATGACGGAGCTAAAGTGGGAGTGTATCTGCTGGACACGAGCGTTCAGTTGACCCACCGTGAGGTCGAGGACAGGGTGATGGTGACCGACTTCAACAGAGTGCCTGAGGAGGACGGGGTCAGAGTTCACAGGCAGGTCTGTCAGTGTAAAAGTGTATTTTCCAAGTGCCAATGAGAAGTAAGTGCCAATGAGATGCATTAGTTCATTGCCTCCTTTTGTGTTTTGTCCACAGGCCAGTCAGTGTGACAGTCATGGCACACACATTGCAGGGGTGATCAGTGGACGGGACTCGGGTGTCGCTCGAGGTGCCAGTGTGAACAGCGTCCGAGTGTTGAACTGCCAGGGCAAGGGTACTGTGTCTGGAGCTTTGGCAGGTATGCTAAAAAAAAATTAAAATTTTTCCTGCATGTTCAATCTACTCATTTAAAATGAACTGAATCAACACAATTCTTGAGGTTTTGTTTGTTACAAAGTAATTGTTTTTGGTTCAATCCACTTAAATTTGTAAAATTAAAGTGACTTAATCGATTTTTTGTTGGGACAACATAGAAAATTTAATAAATAATTATAAACAAAGAAAAATTGTGTGGCAGCCAGCATTTTTTACAGTGTAAAAATGTTTCATGATGTTACATTGTATACTGTAAAATAGAATTGAGGCCAAACAGAATTGATTTTGTTTTTCCATCATGTGCTTGTCACAAATGCCAGCGATCTAGGCCTTGTAGATTGCTGGATAACATTCAATATCACCCAAACTATAATTCTGGCACTAAACTGCACTACATTTCACTTCAGGCACCTCACACACAAACCAGATCCAGATTACCACTGATTGCTTGCACACACAGCTGTAGTTCATGAAGACTGATTAGTTGGACCATATATATATATATATATATATATATATATATATATATATATATATATGCAGGGCTTTACATTAACACCCGCCATTTACCAACACCCGCCGGTTAGACAGACAATCCCACTAGCCACTTTGGCTGGTTGAAAATAATTTTTAAAAGTCCTTAAAGTCCACATGAAATCGAAATGTTCAATGTTTATTTTGCTAGCAAGTAAAAGAAAGCAAGTAATTACCGAATAAGAGAAGAAAGCAAGTAATTACCGAATAAGAGAATGATCATCTCTCGCGCTAACAGCTGATGGGATGCGCGCGACTTCTTAAAACGCGTGGGCCCGACTTCTTAAAACGCGTGGGCCCGACTTCTTAACACATGCGCGCTCCCGAATCATGAAGCAACCGTGTCTGGAACAGGTTCTGGAAATGCAACTGTCATCGGTTCTCTTTCAAATAAACTAGACAAAAAGTGATGAACATGCATCCACAGTCCTGATGCTTTTAAGAGCTCAAAATTTTGTAAGTCTTTTTGTAAGCAGCACCAGTTGCTTTCACTTTGATCAGATTATTAAATTGCCTAAAGTTAATGCTTTAATGCTTACGTGCATGTGATCATCCTTATATTATCACACACGGTAGGTTTCACCTGCTTTCATTTGCTTACGGTTTTATTTGCTTTCATTTTTGTTAAAATGTTTTAATTATCTTTTTTTTTTTTTTTACAATATTGCTTTAATGGAAGATGAACTCTCCATTTATGTGCAGTCAACTGGTGATCCGAGAGATCTTTAGCCAGGACAGATTACTGTGCATATTTTTGATACATGACAATAGTTATTTTTTAAAAGTCAATTGCTTTTCTTTCTTTTTTTAAGAATTTTTTTGTTAAATAAATATTATACAGCTATATTTTGCTTGTTTTGACTCATTAAAAATTTGTGGCTAAGAAATAATCGTTGTTTAGTGTGGTTATAGAGATAAATTTGGTAAATCGTTAATTTTGAAGTCATGTGAAATAAAAACTAATTGCAGTATAACACTATGAAACCATGACTCCTTTGCTCATGCTCCTTGAGAAAGCTCATACTCGACACACAAAAAGTGAAATGAATGAGGACACATGTGGACAACACAAAATTTAAATCAAGTAATTTTAGCATGTTAACATCAAATTTATGCATATAAAATATATTTTCCTAACAACAAAATTGTGGCTAGTGAAAATGCAGAGTGGCTAGTAACTGTGTGTGTGTGTGTGTGTGTGTGTGTGTGTGTGTGTGTGTGTGTGTGCGTGTGTGCGTGTGTGCGTGTGTGTGTGTGTGTATATGTATGTATATGTGTATGTATATACATAGGGCTAAAGCTAGCTCGATTGAGAGTAAGATATATATCAAGCTCACTTTACACGCATTGCCTAAACACCAGCTACAATAAAAATCCGCCATACCACAACTCTGCAATATTTAAATCTAAACTTGAAAACATCACAGACTCGCAGAAGAATTAACTTAAAAGTCAATATTTGTGACACTTGCAGATTGCTTTATCTCTGAATTACACTGAAATACATATCGTGCGCCCGA